ATATATATATATATATAAATAAAAGCACAGAAATTCATCTTAACGTCCAGAGAGGTGAAAAATTGAAGGCTCCTACACTTTTAACAAATCTGCAAAAAACAGCAGAAATTTAGTAGTTAGATAAATGATCATGACCATAATTCATTACTTTTATGCATTAATTGCTACAAAGCAATATCCAATTCTGAATTTTGAGTCAATTTTTCTAATTTAATTTATATTTCTTAGAAAGAATTCTATTCTTACAACTGAATTTTTTCTGAAAGCAACATAACATTCTCTTTTTTAGTAAAAGTGGAAGCTAAGATAGTTTAACTAAACTATTGAAGAACTTTCAGCAAAAGTAAAGCAAAACAATCATAAGCTTTATAAAATACCCATGGAATCACAATGGATTGTTGTGAAAATGCTGTAGCATTGAAGAAAGAAGTTACTATTATTTAGAAGGAAAAAAAGTAAATAAAATACAAGAAATTTACCTTTCCTTCTTCCCTAATTATCGATGGATGATTATATTTGTTAGAATATGTACCTATAAAACAAAATAGAAAAATATCCTAATAAATTTTTAGACAATAAAATATTAATACCAGTTGCAATGTTTTCTTAATAACATGATAAAAATAAAACATCCAATTAAAAAAAAAACAGTATGTATGATTCTACTTTTATGAAAGAAAAGAGATTGAAGAGAACAGCAAACAGATAAAACTATTACATTTTTAAATTATCACAAATAATGCAAATCATATACACAATGCACCAGAGGCCTTTATTTTAAACACTAAAGCCATCTTAGTATGTATTTTTTTAAAAAAGAGCTCCTTGTATAACAAATTTAAGTAAAAAAAATTGTTATATATATTTATATGTTAGTGTGATAAGATTATACTTAAAATATTAAACTATCAGTGCAGTGTTAATGCATTAAACTATTAATGCATAAAATTAAACGCAAAAATTAAAAGGTAAACAAAGAACAGACATTACTCTTAAATTTAATCTGCCCTGCCTAATGTTTGACCCCAATAAATGCACCCACTTTATCCTTTTTGAAAAAATAAACTGCCCATCCCTTGAAAACACTGCCTTTTTATTCATATTCCATTTTAAAAAATATTAATTCACTGTTTAATACTATTACAAATATTTACTTTCTTAGGATTATTCTTAACTCATTTAATTTTTTAAATATCTTATTTAATGGGGAATATTAAGAAAATTTCTTAATAGTTTTAATTTTTAAAATTATTTTCGTAAATAAATAACTTTCTCCTTTTTTTAAAAAAAATTTGTGTCGAGATTATCTATAAGCACACCATTTATTATTTTTATAAACTACAAATTTTTCTCTTATTCTGATAATGAGAGAGAATTATTTTTTGAAATCTACACATAAAAAAGTATAAGAGGGTAATTTAAATATTGTTGGAGATCCAATTCAGTTATTACTTAATACCTTTTTTTTTTTATTATAGATTTTTACAGCGTTGAATCAGTGCCCTGCCTTTTTTCATTCCTAGGGCGAACTCAGCAATGATAAAAATATAAAAGAAAAAGACACTTTGAACTCACTTATAATAGATTCACAGTCGAATTCAACAGGATGTTCAGTGACAATTTCAATTAGTTTTTCAACATGATCCTCCTCAGAGTACTTCAGAATTTTTTCTCTTAATGTATCATCACATTTTCCTATTTCAATATCTTCCCTTTTGAGAAGGAAAAAAAAAAGCTATTTTTTAAAAAAAAATATACTTATGAACTTTACATTAACAAGCTCGCTCAACATAAAAAGTTTAAATTAGAATTTACATTACAATATTGTCAAACTATAAACATAATTGGCAATTTAGAAGGATCAACAAAGGGGAAAAGAATTTTAAAGGATCAACAAAAGGGAAAAGAATACAAAGAAATGGTAACAAGTCTAAAATTAAAAATTGAATGTAGGATAATTAACTTCTTTGAATCTGTAAACCGGTATGTACATTTGGTACATACCGGTTCAGAAATTAATCAATCACATTGATTGACTAATTTCTGAATAAAGATCCTGATTATGAACAAGGCAAGAACTTAGCTTCTCATACCAGTAAATTGGCATATATGATGTTGATTGCAAACATTGCATAGTAACTGTTTATGAATACATAAAATCATATTCAAAAGGATGGAAAAGAGCAAATCATAAAGTTATACATTACTAATAAACGAAAGGAAAAAACTCACTCTCGTAGTTTCTTTTTTCCTAGATAGTAATCAATATGTTCATTTTCACCAGTGAGATAGCCAAAGATCTCTTCATCCTCTAAAGGCCCAATTTGGTCTTCTTCATACTCTTCCATTTTCTGAAAAATACATTAAGGAAGTTCATACTAAATTAAAGGAGGAAAGGAAGTAATAATTAATTGTTAGAGATTCAAATTTATAGTATATATTACCTTTTCTATTTTTCCTTTGGCAGTATTTAAGTTTTCTGAACTATTTTCCTCCAAAGAAGAAAAAAAATCATCATACTCTTCCAATTTCTAAAATAAAAGACTATTTTATAGTTAAATTAAATTTTTTGCAGACACATTTTATAGTTAAGTTAAAAAAAGAAAAGAAAAGCATTGTTAAGTAAAGTTATTATTTCTTTTTCAAGCAGACACCATTCCTGTTTATTCATATGTAAATTTATATCCTGAAATTGGACATGACCAATTTTCTCCAATCAACGACTGTTTTCTGGGATGCTCTTTTTATCTTCATTACTTTTTGATCATATTCATGGATTTTATTTGGAGGGGGAGGGATTATTTTAACAGCATTATAATAGGTAATGCTTGTTATTGTAATTAATATTTGTGAAAGTAGGAAAATTTTCAATTACACAAACCATGTGGCATAAACATTACAGAAAGCGCCACTGTCACACAGTGAATCATCAACATTTTTGTACATAAAAAAAAATAAAAATCATAGTTTACTATTTTTAAAAAAAATTCTAGGACTTAACCTCTACATTTCTTTTAATTATTATGTTCTAAAACTTTTACTCTAAGAAGAAAGGAAATTAAAAGGCTAAAATATACCTTTACCTGGATTCAAACTATTGCCACAAAATTATGAGAAATGGTGGGTGATAAGGGTAAACAGGGATCATATTTTGATTCAGGATGTCTTTTTACAAAAAAATCAGCAGGAATGTTGTTGGGACTGATATTTACGAAGAGCAATGTTACTTTTTATTGATGATAAATGTTATATTAGCGCAACATTCCATACCTTGACCATATATTTTGGACAACTCTTTTGTTTCTGAGTAGAATTATCTGGACTTGATGTTTCACTTAAATCAGAACCAGCATCAGATAAATCATCTGCTTCATCCTGGCTCAGATCATCATCATCCTCATATTCTTCTTCCACAATAAAATCATCTGGATTTAACCTAGTCAAAAATTTTTTTTATGTATATTGAAGAATTATTACAATGATTATGGTCTAGTTATTTTTTTAATAGTAATATTTGTTTTGAACTTTCTAATTCTAATTTAATGCAACTTTGATAAATTTTTTATAAGTAATTTTTTCCCCAAGCTTGCAGATTTGAATACTGAAGTTGTTATGGGCACACTTGTATAACATACATCAATGTTTAAACACAGTTCACGGAAAATTTGTAATGATCGCGAGATTTTTTAAAAAACTATTAACTAAATAAGAAAAAAAAAAGATTCATTTGTAAGCTTTTTTCTATTAATGCAAATGCGACTTAAAATTAGAATAGCATGATTTAAAATAGCATATCACGATTTCTATTTAAGTGATTTATGATTGTGCACCGCATTTCGTATTCTCACTACTTTATATCAAATGTCGCGTTTTGTATTCATATGATTTAAAAGCCACCAATCAGATTTGTAATTAAGTGGCTTAAAAATTATGCTTCGAATTGCTTCCAGGCAGTCTTTAAAATAAACATCGAAATTCATAATCACGCAATTTCAAAATGAAACGAGATTAATATTCATGCTATTTTAAAATGAAATATTGAGATTCGTATGCACACAATTTTTAAATTACACATCGGAATTCGTATTCATGCAATTTTTAAATCAAATATTGAGATTAATAATCACTATATCAAAACTGGCATGCGATTTTAAAATCAAACATTGAGATTCGTATAAACGAGACTTTAAAATCAAACATCAAGATTCATATTAACTTGATTTTAAAATGAAATATCAAAATTCGAATATATACGATTTTAAAATCAAACATCAAAAATTATATTTATGCGATTTCAAAATGATTAAAAAAGTTGATTTTTGAGAGCTCAAAATAGGCCCTCATTCACATGACTAATTAGATGTGAATGAAGAAAACTAAACAGGCGTGAAAAATAAAACACGGAATTGTCTGTGAAAAATAAAATAAAGGCGAAAAATATAACTAGAAAAACCTGGGTAGCTAAGAGAGGAAATCAAGGCATTAAGGAAATCAAAGCTAATGTTAAAAGCATAAAGGATTATAAAACATATTAAGACCTACAGAGTAATTTATAACAGATGAATAGAGTGGTGTCTCAGGCTATAGCTATAATTTTTCTTTAAATAGAATAATAATAATAAAAGCTTTGAGTTGAAAAAGTTAATTCCATATAAAAATATTTCTGTAAAGAGTGGAATATTTAAAGAATAAAGCAGAATTTCAGTAAAAAGCAAATAAAGAGAGACTACTTTATAAAGTAGAAAACTATCACAACTGCAAAAATTTTAAAATATGAGCTACATTGTAATATTTGTAAAGTTAAAAGTATTAACAACAGTAATAGTTTACTTTTCAACACCAGGAAGCTGCATTTTTTTCAACTCTTTTTTCATGTTACTGAAAACATCTTCATCTTCTGAACCTGATGCATCATCAAATTGGTTAAGTATTGCTTCTAAATCTGGCTCTATTTTTTTTTTTTTTTGTTTTTGGTATGTCCATCAAAGTAAAAATCGGAAGAAGCANAAAAAAAAAAAAAAAAAAAAAAAAAAAAAAAAAAAAAAAAAAAAAAAAAAAAAAAAAAAAAAGAATTACATAAAATACTTAAAGGCACATAAAATATATTAAAATAAAATAAATAAAATTAAACAATAAAAGAGAATAAATACAGTAGTTTTGTGGAAAGAGGCAGTTCTGGCACATATGTATGGCTGCAAGTCTAAAAATTTCTTAAGACCGAATTAATTTTTTGACCAATTAGAGCAGTCTAGCATTGCTTAGCAGAATATTCCGAAATTTATAGCTCACTTAGGTGAAAAATGCACTCTTCCATGAGAATGGCCCACATACTATATCAATGACTCGTTTATTTTTCTCAAATAACAGCTAACCTCATATGTATTTTAAATCAATTTTTGAATAAATACAATGCAAAAATTTTTTAATCTCTACATATTTTTCACTTTATAATGAATTTTTTGTTGCAGAATTTTAAATTTCATTAAAAAAAAAATAAATTAAAACTGTAGCTAGTGTTAGAAAAAATTGTGTGTGTGTGTGGGGGGGGGGAGGTAACAAATTCAAGCCGTTACTGAAATTCAATCATTCTCATTCTTTTATTGCAGTGCAATATCAGTCTTCGATCATTTAGCAATAATTTTTACAAAATGGTTTTTTTTTTAAAATTTATTTTTAACAAAAATTTTTTGATACATTATTTAAGGAATTTGTTTTAAAAATTAATTTAAAAAACAAATTGGAACAAGATTAATAGGAGGATAGGATTTAGTTCACTGATTATTTTTTCTCAGCACTGAAGAGTGGCACTCATGCATAGGCTGCAGCCATGAAATTTGATATTTAAGAAAAAGAAATGTCAGAATTAAACTGATTTGTTAAAAATGCTCAATTAAAATAATTAAATAGTGCAATAAAATAAATTATTAAATAGCGCGGTGATATGACTCCCTTTACATAGTGATATGGGTGTTAATTCGTCATTAACTCAATACCAAACAATTGAATATATTTTTGCTTCAATAAGTGGAAAAAAAAATCTAATAGAAGGTCAATAAAATGTGCTCTAGATTCAGCAAATATCAGGAACTTTAAAAATTGGATGCAGTATTGATAGTTAAAAATATACTGAGCAGTAAAACAAATAAATAACTGAATCAGTCACAATTTTTTGTTTTCATTATTAGTTTTCTATTACAAATATAAGTAGAATATCTTAAAAAGCAAATATCACGATAAATTTTTTTAGGAGAACAATAATTTTTAACATATTTTGTGGAACGTGAACTTAATTTACATTGAAAAAAAAAAAAGAGTGATTTTGTATTTTATTTAGTACAGTGAGATTCGTGCAAGTTAAGCATTTGCGGTGCATTCCTAATTTAGACAGGTACTTAACTTAGAGAGAGGACTGTGTCTTTTTCTAAAAATATTTATTATATCAAGTTATTCATACATTTCTTATATATTACAAAATAAATAAAATATAAACAAAGTTCTTTAAACATGACTTTAAAATTTTATTTTAATTAACTTTAAATTTAATAACTGTAAAATTTCATTTTATAAATTTATTCCAATTTTATTTGATTTATTTAACTATCCCCATACTTTACAAGCAGGGTGGCATTAACCTATAGGCACGTGCCTAGGGCCTACGGAAAACTTGGGAGAAAAAAATTTGTTGACAAAAATAAAACGTGAGTAACATTTTATTAAAATAGTATTAAATAATTTTTTTTCTATTAGTAAACATTTAACCTACAATGCAAATTTATTTATAAATAATTTCAAAA